TACATCACCAACTACAATTATCACAAATAATCCTGAATTCTCTTATCTAAGTTCTTTAAATAACTTTCACTTAGAAGGCCAACAAGACGAAATAGTAGAATATGCCAAAGTACAGCAACAAATCCTAAAACAACAACAGCAACATCAACAACAGATACAACTACTATCACAACAAATACAGCAACTACAAGCAGAACGGAATAACCAAAGTTCTTTCGAACATTTACCAAACCCAAACCCCAGTATACACTTTACAGACTCACATTAACTTTTTTCATCAATCGCATCCCAAACTCCTAATTCAAATAGCCTGAGGAGGGACCAGTGGCGTCTCCTTGATATTTCGATTAAATCTTTTTTCTCATTTATATACAACACATCTCCATATACTCGCGGCCTAATTGGTATTAGTGTCTTGCTAAACACCTGGTCCTCATCCAGTTTACAGTCGATGTCTGATTGCTAATGATTATCTTTTACATAGTACCATCGAAGATTTGTACTACCTCTCTACTCGGGACTTGCCAAGTGGGCTTCCATGTACTATGGGCCCAAGCTCTGGATTTATGTGGTTGTATAACTCATACATTACATAGCCTTCTAAAACAAGCTGGTATGACCAAGATTACAGGTGCTGCCACTCCTCAGAATTTTGAATTTCGTCATCAGTGAGATTCGAACTCTTGTCCTGCCACTTAGGGTACATAACTTATCAACTTCACTAAGTCACCACACCCTTAGTGATAGTAATTGTATATAGTATAGAGAAGTAATATAGATTAGAAAGTCGGCAGTAAAGTTTAGTAAAATATTAAGAAAAGTATTAGAAAAATTGTTAATAGAGAATCTATCTGTTATTTAAAAAAGATTTGCAAATTTTTATAAATAAATTTTACTATAAGCCAAATATGAAATACTCTAATATAAAACATTTTTTGTATTAAGTAAATCATTTTTGGGCTTCTAATAAAAGTTGTAGAGCTTATTAAGATATATCTAATATTAATAAGAACATTAAAATTAGCTTGTAGTTCTTGAAAATCTTTAAAAAATATTTTACTAACATATAAAATTTTTTTAAAAAAATCGATTTTTTTTAAAGAAATTTAATATATCAGCAAAATATTTTTTAAAGATTTTTTAAGAACTACTAAGCTAATTTTAATGTTTTTACCACTATTGGATACATTTTAATAAGCTTTACTACTTTTATTAAAAGCCCAAAAGTGATTTACTTAGTACAAAAAACTTTTAGATTGAAGTGCTTCACATTTGGCTTAATAGTAAAATTTACTTATAAAAATTTGCAAATTCTCTCCTGATAACAGATAGATTATCGATTAAAAATTTAAATAATTATTAAAGCTATTTAAATTATATTGATGAGTTTATAGGAAAGATTAATATTATTGTTTAGACAAGTAAAAAGAAGTGCATTTTCAAAACTAAGATATTGAGAATATATTGATATATTATAAAGATAAGAATAGCAAATATTGAGATTTTCTATAATAGAGAGATTGTTTATAAGAATTTTACAAATAATATAAATGCGCCTATAGTGTTTATAGTATTAATAAGTTTTTGACTAAAATTTAGAGTTAGGGTGCAACTTTAGAGTAAGATAGGGGTTAGATATAAAGGTCTAAATTTTAGTTAGCATAAGGTTTTTGGGGCTCTGAACAATTTACTTAATACTCCTGAG